CTGGCGGGCGCGGCGCGGGCGGCGCGGCGGTCCGGGCGCCGGCCCCTCCTCGCTCGACCACAGGGGGGGGTCGCGCCGACCACCGGCAGGGAGCCCACAAAGGACGTACGCGCCCAGCTATGCACATGAGCACGGCCCCTCGATTCGCGAGACCGGCCGCGTGAGACGGACATTTGTGCAGTGCGTGCGCTCGAAGCCAGCGTGGGTTCATGTACATGTGCGTCCTTCTTTCGCTCCTGACCCGTCTCTGCAGCGCACGCTGCAACGGTGCACGTCGGTCGGAAGAAGTAGGTTTCAAGTCGGGCGTGTCCCCCTACAGGGGGATTTTCGACGAAAAACTGAAAAATACACCAAAAATACCCCCAAAAAGCCATTCATAATCAAAAAATAGTCCCCAGACTATCTTTGGACTACTGTTTGACTATTTTGGGGGAACTTTTTATTTTCGTCGAAAGTCCCCCTGTAGGGGGACAGGCCCGACTTAAAAGTAGGTAGAAGCATGAGGTAGGAAGGCGGATGTAGTGGATGGGGTCCAGGTCCTCCCAGAAAATAACAAAGCACAGCAATAGCATGCCGGCTCTTGAAGTAGGAGGGCGCTTGAAGCAGGTTGGGATCTGGGACTCCAAAGAAACCTACTTTCAACTACCGGCGTGTACAGTAGGGGCTCGACTACAAGAAGCCTTCCACAAGAAAGCCAGCCCTGAGACCCCAGGACGTTCATCGATGTTTGGTGTGGGACCGCCACGCTCCCCACGGCAAGACATCGAAACCCAAGAAACCCAGGGCCCCCTGGAGGCAAGCAGGGTGTTTCTTGGCGTGAGTCTCCACTGTATGTCCGCAGCCATGCGCTTCGCGGCGAGGCAGCGATGCTGATCGCAAGCTCTCTGATCACATCCGATCGCACTTTCGGTGGCAACTCATGCGAGTCTCCCGATCCATCTTTCGCTGGCTCTCGCGAATGGGCGCTAACCGACGCTAATCCACGCGAATCGGCACTCAGTCCGCGCTGATCGACGCCAAGTCGGCTAGCGCGCTAGCGCACGTCAGTGCACTCCTATGACGGAACTGCGAGGACACACAAGGCTCCCGTGACCTGCTGACGAACGCACTCGCGATCCGCACCGTTCCGGCCTCAGGGGCGCGCTGACCTGGGGTAGCGCCAGCCCGGGCCAGCTCAGGGCCGCTGAGACGAAGCCAGGACGAGGACCAATTCGGATGAGGATAAACTTGAGGATCTCTGGGATCTGGCGGCTCTGAGGAATATATCAGCGCCGCGGCCTTCTGAGAGCGTTCCGGAACGCTCTCAGCCGCGCCCCGGAACGCTCTGGGGCGGATCTTGTCCTCGCCCCAGCCCGGTCCGTGCTTGGCGGCGCGCAGAGGGGGGTGGCGGGAAGAGGAAGGCTTCTTGGAAGGAGGCTGCCTCTCGGAAGGCGCGGGCCTCACATCTACAGACAAGGCCCGCGCCTTCTTCAGAAGCAGGGGTGCTCCTCAGAAGCCTTCCCTGGGTAAACCAAAAATACCGATACCGCCACTCCCCGGACCTCTGCTGGAGTGCGTTCTGACCAGAATCTCGAGGCGAATCCAGCGGCGGCGACGAGGGCCTCCCAGGAGGCCCCCAAAGAGGGCAAACGAGGCAAGGGTAGCGGTATGGGTACCTCTTCCCTCTCTGACTCCCATTTCCCCCTGAAGCCCCGCCTCTGCGCGTGGCTGACGTGTACCGACTTTGCAGACTACAGTCGGGGCCCTGAAGAAGGAACCCTTTTCGTTGGGGAGGGGCTCCGCGTTCCTTAAGTGTTTCACAGCTTGCCTCAGGCTCTCCTCATGTTTTCGACAGGAGATCTAAGGTTAACTTATGGAAAAAAGGAGCCTCCTTCCTTATTTAGGGTTCCTTAGGTCAACGCCCTGACTGTATGGCGCCTGGGCGACGACTCCGACGCCCCGCTCCCTGGACCCCCCCCTCCTGCACGGTTTCCCCCGGGGCCGTAGGCGACCCGAGGAGGCGGAGGAGGGAGTTGGAGGAGGGGGAGGAGGTGGAGGAGGGGGAGGAGGAGATGGAGGAGGAGGAGGAGGAGGAGGAGGAGGAGGAGGAGGAGGAGGAGGAGGAGGAGGAGGAGGAGGAGGAGATGGAGGAGGAGGAGGAGGAGGAGGAGGAGGAGGAGGAGGAGGAGGAGGAGGAGGAGGAGGAGGAGGAGGAGGAGGAGGACGGGTCGCCTAAACCCTTCGGAGAAACCCTCCACCCCCCGCCCCCCCCACGAACCCCTCGGCGTGGAGGCCGCCGCCCCCCGGCCCGGCCGGGAGAGGCACTCGGCTCCATCCCGCCGGCAGCGCGGGCCCCGCTGCTCGCATCGGGGGGGCTGCAAGGGGCCCCAGGACACACAAACAAATACACACACAAATAACAGGATTTCCCACACTTTCCCATATTTTCTGGGTTTTTGTCTTCCCCCCCACTTCCCAGATGTTCCTATATTTTCTGGGGGATCGACGATTGATTGTGTCTGTGTGTTGTCTTCCCTCCTGAACTTTCTTGGTGCTCGACATTCTTTCTGGTGGTTCCGGCTACAGTAGGTTGGAACATGAGAAGTCGGATCCCGGATCGGAATCCGACATCGAATCGCATCGGGATCGGAAGCCATCGGAATCGAAGCGAAGCGAATCGGCGGCAGCGAAACGAGCCCTTCACCGCGGGGAGGGGCGGCGTCAGCGTCGGGGGGAAGAGACGCAGCACTCCAGCACCCTCTTGGGCCCGTCGTGGCAGGGAAGGGGGGCCGCTCAGGAAGACGCCCTCTGGGGCCACTTCCTGCAATCCTCAGTCTCCCCCGGTTTGCGTGGACGCCCCAATTGGGCATGGGAAACATGGGTACGATGCCTGACAGCAAATGTTGTCCAAAGCCGACAGCGGGCGCTGCTGGGCAGGCGACTTGTTGTCTCAAGGGGAACACATCCTTCCTGATTGATCGTTCGGGGAAAAAAGTAACGCGTGAAGTGGGAAAGTGTTGAATGTAGTCGAGAAAGACACATGGGTACAGTAACTGCTCGCTTCTGGAAATAGGAGGGCGCCTGAGGCATATTGGAGACTGGGAATCCCCAAACACATGCTTTCAGCGAGCCATGGGCAGCATGCCCCCAACTGGGGAAACCAAAAGGTACCAGTACCGCTTCTGCCCAGACCTCTCCAGCTGTGCGCTCTGATCAGGATTTCCAGGCGGATCCAGCGGTGGCGACGAGGGCCCCCCCGGGAGTACGAAATCAGGGACGGGCGAAGTGTAGCGGTATCGGCACTCGGCGGCGAGCGAGGGGGGGGAAGTGAGAAGGAGAAGGCCTTCTCAGAAGGCGGCGGGACTTCTGGGAAATGTTGCTGTGTCTTCGGGGAAGGCTCAGACAACTTCTCAGAAGGCCAGGAGACTTCCGAACCTTCCGAGAATGTCCTCCCGGGCTCACCGCCGCGGTACCTAGAAGAAAACAAAACGGCATAACCATAAGCTATTGACGCTCCGCGCGGAGCGCCAACAATTTGTTTCAACTCTGAGACACCAGGACGTCCATTGATTTTTGGTGTGGGAACGTCAAAGCTCCCCATGGCAAAACCAACGAATCCCAAGAAACCCAGGGCTCCCTGAAGGAAAACAGGGTGTTTGTTGGCATGGGCTTCCACTGCATCATAAGGATGCGCGACAAGGGTGCAAAGGCCTTGGACGCCCATGTCGAAGCTTCTCGAGCGGGTCGCGGCCGACAAAAGTGGCCAAGGATGGACCGAGAAGGCAAGGATGCAGGGGTACCCTTGGGACATTTGCCCATCCTCACTATGCGGGTGGACTGTACTATCATCATCAACTCCAAATGATCGGTGGTTCAAAACTAGGGTCCGGAGGAATGGGGTCTTGAGGACGAGGTGCCTCAAACAGTGTGAATCCACCCTCGGATCCCTCCCTGCCCTTTAAAACCCGATGCCTCAGGACCGCAACTTTGAACCACAATGCTGAACGACGAGAAGAAACGGGTCGTACCAGACTCGCCATCGCTCGGACGGCCATCTCCCGTGTATGCTTCGACGTCGTGCGATTATTTTGCTCGCTAGATGGCCCAAGATGGTCCTCGCCGAAGAAACATGCACACGTCCGAGCGATGCCCAACATGAGGAACTCCAGCTGCACGACGAACAACACGGGTCGTACGCACGATGACATAGACGCAGCGACCTTCCAAGGTGGCGTACGCGGGCAACCGGCGCGGCACGCTGCCTTGGACCGCCCCCCCCCCCCCTGGCCATTTGGGACCCCAAAACGGTCCAGTGACAGAGCGTGCGGCGATCTCGGGATCTTCAACGACCTCACCGCACGGTCCGTCCCCGCTATCGGCCCTGTCAGCGACGAGTGGGCGATGATGCCGGGGCACGCGCTAACACGGAATGGGGATCCGCGGATCTGGCGCGCTGGCGCCAGATCCACGGCTCACGCCAGATCCACGGATCGGGGAAGAGACCCCCACAAAGATGACCAGGTCAGTGCCCCTCCTTGAGCGACAGAACTCGTGGATTCCACACGGAGCCCGGGAGCCGTCACTAACCCACACGCCCCAATCCGTGTTTGCGTTTCATCGAGCATGCCCCCCCACACGAGCCTCTCCCCCCTCGTAGCGCTGCCCCCGAAGGAAGCTCCCGCCGAGAACAGCGCCGATGATGAGGAGGAGGGAGAGGAGGAGGAAGAGGAGGAGGAGGAGGAGGAGGAGGAGGAGGAGGACAAGTGCAAACCCTCAGCCAGGATGTTCAAATAAACCCCCCCTCCAAGCCCCCTCTTCATAATCTCCCACAAAAACTCATTTTTTCCACTGAGAAAATGCTCCGGTCGGGGACAGCCGTGTGAAAATCCGGGATCGTGCCAGAACGCGATTCGCAAGACTCCAACGCCACGAGTCAGCCTAACAGTTGCGTCTTGACGTTTCTGAATCGTATCAAAAAACATTTTCCGGGACGCGAACACAACGAATGAACGTAACTGCTG